AACTGCCAGTTCGCGGCGCGTCGGACTGGCGTACAGCCATTTCAGAATGAAAACGGCTTTTTAAAATCATTACATGAACGTGGAATTCTAGTTGAATTTGCCTCCAAACACTAGTCGAACGATTGGACTTAGTAGGGAGTCTCGGACATCTGTCGCGAAACGGCAAGATGACGCTGCGCGCAAACCCGTGGCACATATGCAAACCTGAGAGTGTCCGATCGGCTGGGAAACGTGTAGCGCCTTAAGCTTATCGTTACACCTCAACAGTCACCTGGTTAGCATTGGGAGACGGTCGTTACTCTCTAAATGAAATAGAACATAAGGTTGAGGGAAACTCGACGACTGCGCCTACCTGATGAGCCCCAAGAAGGACGAAACCGGTTGTGGTTTGCCGAGGGGTTTTCAGCAAACTTATGACTTATGCATTAGGAATACACAACGGAACACGAATTTAGCGGGCTGGGTGTGATAGTGTAGCTAGTCAACAAGGAACATTACACGGGCAAAATAACTTGGAAGTCTTCCATTTCGAAGATAATCCCACACCAAGGAGCATCACTTCGCCGTTGAACTATGCCGAGTAATCTCATTTCAGTGCTTTAGACAATCCATGTAACTTGTGAAGTTTCTCTTGTGAATGAAGCCATCCCAGTAGATGAATACGCCCTATTTGGCAGAGGTCGAGAAGCCAGTCGGGTCACCTGGATTGCATTTTGTGAAACATTGTGATGCGATATCCTGTCTAGGTCTGAGTGAGTTGAAGTGGTGCGCATCCATTAGGGGCCAAAGAGTAGAACATTCATCAACTAGCCAGAAATTCCAATCGCCCTGGTTCATTGGTGGTGCTCCTCAATGTTCACTCCACCATCCAGCTACTGATATTTTATCAGTAGTGTGAATTGCATGCAAATAGAAAGCATCAAGTGTAACTCATCCTTGTGTCGTGCTCCCACGTTACACACCCTTCTCGGTCGAACCGACCAAGACCAGATAATCCGACTTGAACTGTTCGATTTTGTAGTGCCTGTTCTGGGATATGATGTGACTTTCGTTTCATCTGAAAAGCCCGTGAACAGATTCCGGCGTAATGGTGCATACTACTGATGAACCATGCGAGTAGTCTATGTTTTGGGGTTCAGTTTTCGCCCTCCATATCTGATGGAAGGTGGGATTTAGTACGGAACCTGTTGAACCGATTTGCAGTGTTCGCTTACCATTGTGTAATAATCAACGAATATCCAGGGAAGTTCGAGAGAAGACGTGAGAATGTGGCTTTCAAGATGAGATGTCAACGTTCCTCTCTAATGACTTGTTACTGCTTAGTTCGTGCTTGTTAATCAGTGACTTCTCAGGTATCGGTTTTCCTCCTTCCTGACTGCCTAATTATACAAAAATCAGTCTCAGAAGGAAGTGAGAGTCCTGTTTAACGCAAAAATTTAAATATTAAAGCTTTGGGAGCTACCAGGTGTCTATCACTTTGTTTTCGTCCAGCTTCACTGTCAACTTTGCCATTTGTCCGATGAATCTAAGTATGCAGGTGATTAAACCCAAGGTCCAAGAAACTTGGAAACTACGAACATCATTCAGTTCTCCTAAATTTAGAGGCCTGTGCGTCCTTATGCTGACCTGTCTCGGTGAACTTACTGTTGCCAACTGACCATAACATTTTGGTCGAAAATCAGAGGTTTAAACGTTGGAACCACATAGAGGCCAGCTAATGGGCAATTATCTCTCCACTATGCGCGTTCAAGGCCAGTATTATAATACAAACAGCAAAACGGCAGTTTCTACACAAAACGAACTTGAAATGCCTCGTAATAGAATATCATCCGCTGGTCATTCGGTTGAGTGATGGTCCCCGTCTCGATCTCACCAACTCCATGGCCGTCATAGGGCTTCAACCTGACGGTCCTTTCGGGATCTTCGTAAAGGGAGTGGTTCAGTTCCCCCATTAGAGTGATATCATCCCTGAAACCTGAAAAGCGAAGAACGATCACACATCAGCAATAGCTCAGATTTATGTATTGAAAACAAGTTTGAAACAAGGATTGAGCGGCTGGAAAACGATTATATAAATGTCTTGGAAAACTTGTCGTTCACATAAGGGATATCATCATTCCATCAAATGGGATTAAGTCCGTTTAAATGGCCAGCCATGGTGAGAGAGATGTGTGGACCAACCTTCGACTATGGGACCTGGGTATCTGTTAGAAAATTGGATACATCGACTGTCTAGAAGACAGAATCAATGCGTGGTAAGGTGGATTTTTCGTCTCTTTCTGTCCTTCTGGACTAATTCCACCGGCTCTAATTTGATTGGTTGGTTACGAGTGATTGGGCTGGAATCCAATTTGTGTTTGGTTGACACTTTATTGCACTGAAGCGGCCCACTGATGGTGGTTTTGTCCCCTCGTTCTGATTGGTTCAGTGTCTCACTACGTATCGACCTAAATTTCTTTTACTTGCTTTACTTTCTGTTTCATCGTTTTCCTTCCTTCACCTGATTGGTTCATTCGTCAGCTTCCTTTTCCAGTTCTCCACGCTGTTCTGATTCATTTCATAGTTGATTATTTACATGATTGTGACAGTCAAGGCAGATGTTGACCTGCTCATCAATTAACTTCTCCATGCGATACACTGTCCGGCGTCTTTCTCCTCATTAGGTGAACAAATATCTGACCGTTACTCTTCGCTCTCCTCGTGGAGTGAAACAAGCGGGACCGGGTCTTGCCTTCTATGGCCACCCTTGTGTTCGTATATGTTGGGTGGCCGGGAATTTGTCGCAGTCGATCGAACAAAGCTTGGGAATTATGTTTGACTTTTTTTCGTTTCACCCAGTATTCTTCAGCCAGGTCGCGGATTTGCCTCTTTGTCTTTGGTACGGCCGTCTTTGGTCAGTCAACATCAGGAGACAATTTTACAAACCTAGGCACCTCTCTGTCGTTGGTTTGGCCATCTTAGGTCAGTCAACATCAGGAGACAATTTTACAAACCTAGGCACCCCACCTAGGTGGTAAATATCGCCCGTTCGATCAATTTGGTCAGAGAGTTTCAACAAAAATGACATTTTTTGCATTCTTCGCGCTCTTTCCTTCAGTGAGAATGGAGTACTGCCTTTCCCTCAAGAAAGCGTCCGTCGTCGAGGCGTCTGCTTTCCATTCCGACTTCCTCAAAGGTGGGTTCCTAGGCGAACTTTGAAGCACTACCCACTTTGCTCGATGTCCGGTTTTTTTCCAAACGCTAAACTCACAAGAAAATTGGCCCGTTCTCACAAAACTCAATCAACCACAGGTTCCCAAACACAATGGCTGTCCTTAAGTTTAAATTTGTCTTGTCACTTTTACAGTTTTTGTTTCATGCTAGTTGCTTGCTATAAATTTGTCCCATGCGTAATGACATTAAGGACACTGGATCACTTTTTCTGTGCTGAGAGATGTGTCGCCCACGCACACCAAAAAAATACACTCACATCAATTGATATTAGCGAACAACCACCTTCACTGGTTTTGTGAGAACTTCCAGCTATCCAGTATTAATCCATACATTTGTCCCAAGCATGGACGATATCGTAACTCAGTGTACTATGCTGTGCCGCAACCGAGAAAGAACGTTGCAATTCAATGGACATCTTCGAAGTACACACCATACATTTGTAAGCGCATCATGCGAAAATCGATAGTGCATCGAGTTAAGTCTGTTCACTTTTGAAAAGCTTACGTGTATAACGCGCAACAAAACCCGTCCCCGTCGCCAGTGGGCTGGTCTTCAGAAATATTGTTATTTGTTGGAATCTGCCAATCAAAGCCTCATAGCTTTTTTCATATCCACACAGTGTAGCCAATAGGACTGTTTTATTTTCGAATTTGTTACCGGTCACCCATATGGCTGCATCGTTGCAATTCGGTATCCTGCGTCCAGAGATCTAGAGAAGGTTAGATTGGAGATGATTCAATGGAGGTTACTTGATCAAAGAGAGATCTGTTCATGCATAGTCTGGATATTATTTAAGATAAACTATTTAAGGAAACCTATGTTGTTCGTTGTAGGCGTGGAAGTTTCAGGTATTAGGAAAAAATTGACGGAAATATAGTCTGTTTGAAGGTAATTTTTTTAAGATTGATGTTTGCCGATGCATGTTGAGACGCATCGGCCAGCCGCTCGTCACTCATACCTGGCACACTTTGATGGACGCTTTTCGGTCAAGCATGGCTGATTGCACCCTAGAGTGAGTCGGTTAATTATGCCAAACTGGCAACTGTTGGGTCGTTGCTTTAGTTCGAACAGACTCCAGGAAGTTTCGAAACGAACATGTGAACAGTTAGACATCCGGCCACGAGTGGCTGTCCAACACTGTCATTACCTTGCGCGGACTCACTCACAGGCAAACGAACTACCAGGTCACTTGGAACCCAACTTCATCTCTCGGTTTTGATGTTTCTAGGCAACTGAATGTGCTGCACCAGGCCGCCTCATGTTTCAGTCGCTACGATATTCGAGATATCGCGAGATATTCGATATATATATATATATATGTAGTGCACTATTCACAAGGTTGATGAACATTCGTCGACAGCTGACGATCGGTCTCGCCCTTCTTGAGGCTCATCAGGTAGCCACAGTCCCCGAGTTTCCGTCAACCTTATGTTCTACTTGAAAACAAATTGCAGGAAATTAGCGAAATACACTCATTCAAACTATTTTGGTTGTGCGAGAGACTCATCTGAAACCAGGCCTAATCTCTTGGTTTTGATGTTTTTAGGCAACTGAATGAGACATGAGGCGGCCTGGTGCAGTACATTCAGTTGCCTGAGAATATCATAAACGAGGGATTCAGCTGGACTCTAGGTGAGTGTCTCGAAAACCAAATTGGTTTGCGAATGAGTGTATTTCATTAGAGTATGAACTGTTGTGACTAAAGTTGGAAGACCACGAATTTGTGATGAAATATCATATGTAATCAGCAACTGCTACCAAGCAATCCATCATATCGACTGGCGTGATCGATTGTCTCCTTCAGTAGGTTGACTGCATTCGAACCTCGCCTTACGAATGGATACACCACGCACGCACAGAAGATAACTCAAGCTGAAAGTGTTTTCGGGCGTTCAGAATTAGACTGAGACAAACAAGAGCTCATTACGGTTGTAAGAAAGTGAAGTTGTTTACTAGACAACATCAACCAAACGGTTGCAAACTTTTGGGCTGGAAAGTGAACATCGCATATGCACCATATTTAAAAAAAACTGAACATCTTCCCGCGTCTTCCCGAACTTTCATGGACACTCATTGTAAACGAACGATGCAAAGCAGTTCCACGCGCTCCGTGATAAACATCATTGGGTACACCATCCATTAGATGCGAGGCGGAGTTGCGGGAAAACCCTATACTACTCACATGCCTCATCAGTAGTATTCGCCGTCACACTATAATTCCTTATAGAATTGACACCTGCGGCTAACATAAATTATGTTTGCGTGTCCTCTATCACTGTTCATAACCACTGTTGCGTTAAACGCCGAGCATTCGTGTATATGTGTATATGTGTATATGTATTCATCTGAAAAGGAGATCTGGTTGGATCCATGAAGATGGCATATTACTTTTCCTCTTGCCTTTCTGGATAAAGGCATATGAAATTCCAATCATTTTTCGGTCATCCGTATGCCCAGCAATAGTACACAAATATGCTAAACCTGATAACAGATTACACTACGCATGAGGTTGCTGAAAATTCTTCGACTGTGCACAACCGGCTTCGCCCTTGTTGGGTCTCCTCAGGCAGGCGCCGTTAGCGAGTTTCCGTCGAATTCATGTTTTGCTTACACCCAACTTGCTCGAAATTAGCGAAAACCAATTTGGTTTTCTGAGAGGTTCACCTGGAGCCCAGATGAGTTAATCGTTTATAATGTTTTTGGACAATTGAATGTGCTGCACCAGGCCGCCTCATATTTCCGTCGCTAAGATATTCGAGATGTTGCGATACATGTGCAGAATTAATACAATTCTCATAAGGTTGCTGAAAATGGGAGATTCAGCTGGGTTTCAGGTGAGTCTTCCACAACGAAGCCAAATTTATTCACTCAATCGGATAACTTTTTTTCGATAAACAAACTTTGTCGTTTAGAATCGATTTGTCATTCTGAGTTCATTGAACTGCCCTCCCTTATTTCAGCCCTCATGAGTTTACGGAGTCTTTTGTTATAGTATGGCACGTGTGAAAACCGTGGAGCTAGTTGTTTGAACCGCGTTGGATTGGTCACATGACTCGCACATTCTAGACTGTCGGCTGTTCATTAGGTCTGTGAAAACGCGAAAACGACTAAACAGGCATACTCACGTTGATACGAATGAATTCAACAGCGATCACCTCATCTGCCTGTGCTTCCACAGTCCACAGACATGAAACGTTCTTGGGAAGCACAAAAGAGTAGCGTGGCGATGCGAAGAAGCCCCAGTCGTTGGTAATCCGGCGTCCACAGGTATCTTGGAGTGAAGGGGTAAAAAATTACCACCACATGATATGTTGTAACAAAAAATACTTTGGATATTAGGGAATCGTTTACTTTGGCGAAGACTGGACTGGAATTGTTATTGGAATTTACTTGGCTTCCTAACTACTTATATGAAACAAAGTAGGATCCAGTATGTTCGTTTTCTTTCTGGCCACACTCTCTCCTCCGAGGACGACACAGCGTATCCCACAAAAACCAGCGAAATCCGTGAAAGATACCCGACAAGAAGATTAAGCCAAAATTGAAGGGCATGGCCGCAAACACGTCATAACTTGAGGATACATCCCCACCACACTGACCTAGTGTTGTAATCTCAATAGGCTTTACTGAATGGTTCTCCGTCTGCTTTAAGACCTCGCCAATTTGGCGGCCTGCTTACTTAGCCTGATGAAGCTTTTGTGGCAAAAGCGAAACTATTCCCGTTTAAAAACCATCTACTATTTACTGAACCCTCCTGAAACGATGATTTCTCAAACGGTTCCAAACTTTTTCCAGTTGATTATAAACTTTCACCTTCCCCCCAGAAAAATAAACATGAATTTGGTGGTGATGAAACGTTTGAAATCAAATTGCCCAGCTCAGCGGACAAGTCAACGACCACCATCTTCGCTACATGAGCTACCGACATTTTCCTTCATAGAAAATGTGGATTTATTCTGAACTACTCAAGAGTAGTATAAAAATGGAAAAATTGGCGATGCGCTGCTGTTTTCTATGGTTAGTGAGGAAACTGTGTACCGTCCTACTCACCACTAGTTCGACCTGACTTTTGTGAGTAGTATGCAGCACCAACATCAAAAGGCAATATTAAAAGTTGATCATTGATAAACTTACCTGAACTGTAGTGGGCCAAAAAACCTCTTCCCCTGAATATGGATTTCGTGTAGGCGGTAAAGTGCAGATTCGGGCCGGTCGTCATGATTGGAAGGGGAACTGTTTTACCACAGAATCTGCCGATTCGCCGATCACTTACTTCGAAGTCATCGTAGATATCGATACCTTCTACTGTGCACTCACCCTTCCACTTGTGTGCGACCTTTTGGGGTAAACAAAGAATATTTTGTAATAGTCTGAATTATCTATTCGCTCAAACCCTTGGGTGTGCTAACGCGTCCCTGGACCGTGCTCGCTAACCAGTACACCTGAGCTACGGTTTTTCAAATACCAGTACAGGGTATTTTGCACCAAATTTGGAATTTATTTCGTACGTTTTCAGGTACGTACCACAGCCTAACGGCTATACCGACTTGTTCATTAGAAAAGATAGTGTGATAGTGTCCGGGCCTGGGGGGAGCTGACACCGTCTTCAAACTTGGCGTCTTCCTTAGCCTACCATCCAAATTAGATAACCCCGGCAAGCTGATACGAACTCGTCTGACAGGTGCGGGATATACTGTTCATCCAGATCTGCCTTGTCCGCATGGTGTGGGAGCAAGTGTCAGAAGTTCGGGACACTTGATGGTCTGGCACCAAGGCGAGATCTGATTGGTTGAAAGTTTGTAAACAGCAGCCAATCATGACCCAGTATTGGCCAAATGCCGGTTGCCAATGGAGCACCCAGAACGCGTCAGAACTTCCAGAAAGTTATTGCCGCCTACGCTATATATATATAGCGTTGTACAAATGTTCCTGACTACGTTTTGGGCGTTGAGGTACCTTTGGTGGCTGTTTTGACGTGAACGCTAGCTTGGGGGGCTT